GAAACTCTAGTATTGTGACAGCTCCTTGTTGCAGCAACAACAGAATTTGGAGGCATCACTGTGAAAAACTTTTCAGTTTTGGTGTGTCTTTGCCAGAGTCCTTCGAATCTGGTCCTATTAAAGGGATATTCCGGCGTAAAATTAATTTAGGGTCAAACACACCATAACACCTCCATCGAAAGATTAATGATGCCGACCGCTTGCTTCTCTACTTATACCAACTTTAGTAACGACCGCACGATAACAATACACAGCGGTCTGAGGAGCCATCAACAACTTCAATCAAAACGCCACTCTATAGCCATAAATAATGCTCAGAACAGCACCCAACTTCATCAACAGTACATATAGGGTCCTAGCCACAGCACTAGCCAGCAAACATCTTTTTAACTTGATGATCATAAATGTTCTTCCTTGAGCTGCGTCACCCCGCTGCAGTCCATAATGGACTGGCCCGAGGTCTCGCTACAAACAAGCGGCTGCTGGAAGCGAGTAGGTGAGTTGTGTTGAGTCTCTTTGTAAAAAAATCAGGCAAAGTTAAAAAGATGTTTGATGGCTAGTGCTGTGGGTGGGACCCTATATGTACTGTAGATACAGTTAGGTGCTGTTCTGAGCATTAATTGTGGCTATAGAGTGGCTTTTTGGTTGAGTGCGTGGCTCCTGGGACAGCTGTGTATTGCTATCCTGCAGTCGTTACTAAAGTTGGTATAATTAGAGAAGCAAGCGGTCGGCAACATTCATCGTTGGTGCTACGGTGTGTTTGACCCTAAATTAATTTTATGCCGGAATATCCCTTTAAACTTAGATTTACATCCTTTCTTAACGCTCAGTGGCTAAAAAAAAACACTGACATTGACTGCTGTAAAAACATGGATTCATAATTTTTCCAGATTTTCTTTCATGTATCTCTTAATTAACTTCTGCTCTATTCAAAACTAGTAAATGTTTCATTAAGAATCCAAATTTAACCCTTTAAGGACCCATTTAAAACATAAAGTCACTAATATTGGGGGAAAAAAATGGGAGGAAAATGACTGATTTTAATTAGATTCATTTTCTAACATTTCAGTGACATTATGTTTTGAATGGACCCTCAAAGGGTTAAAAAGTGTTTTTAGATGAAACATATACTAGTTTTGATCAAAGCAGAAGTTAATTAAGAGATATATGAAAAAAAAATGGAAAAAAATATTAACCCAATATGTTTTTACAGCAGTCCAACTTAGTGGCTTTTTTTAGCCACTTAGCATTAACAACGGATGAAAATTTGCCCAGCACGTATTTCTGACCTGGTGAAAATTGTCCATCAATATAAGCATCTGCACAAAAAATCATCCCATTTGCTGCAGTAAAAAAAAAAGTTACGTAGAAGTTAGTGGCTAAATTTTGCCCCTAGTGGCTGATTTTAGCCACAGCGTTACACAAGGATTAAGATCATAAGCCCTGTTGCAGGCTGAGTTGCAAACTCTGGAGGTCAAAGTTCATGAAATTAAAGTTTAATTCACCCCTCCCACACACAGAAAAAGTGTCGAACAACCTTTTTTTCTTCTCAACTCAAATATTAAAGTATTTTTTGGGTTGTTATTATGCTTCCTGTGCAGTTCTCCCACATTAATCACCAAACACATTGTACCTAACAATACCAAGTTATGCATGCAGTACTTTCTCAGTAAAACCCTCTTTAGACCAGTGGGGCCAAAAACAATAAACAGGAATTTCAATTCAGCATGCAAGGAGATATAAAGTCATCTAGCTTGAGGCAACAAACTGTTGCAATTACTCTATAAAGTCGCAGCCTCTCTATTATTTTCAGGAGGCTGAGCGGTAAGCAGAGTAAATCAACATAACCCTGCAGAGCAGCCTTTGACAAGTCATTTCTCTCCTTTTACAGGGGGAAGTTGTTGGTCTCTCTCTCTGACATCTTTATACATCTGTGCTGCTGGTGAACAGAGTGCCAGGCTGAGTCAGATTTGTGTTCAGAGATCCACGTCATGTGCAGCTCGCCGGGAATAGATAAATGCTTTTAATATCCATTTTTCCAACTGTGCGCCCAAACTGACTTTACTCCACCATAAAACCCTTTTCTCCTTCACATGTGGTTTTATAATGTGATGTTTTTTTTTCTTTTTTTTTTAGAGAAGAAAGCAGGGCAGAATTGATTTTGATTGCACAGTTTGGATGTGTGATGCCCAAAGCATGTAATATTAAACCGCATCAACACTTCTCTGAATGAATTTGACACTACATGCTCATCTTCCCCGACACTTTCAAAAGGCATGGGGAGCTAAATTGTCAGTGTGATGATGAGCAGGCCGGGCATTGGAGACGACTCATATTGAAATAGAATTTCTAATGCAATTTGAGCAAGCATCCGCTGGCTTCAACTGGATTTCTCTCCCTGTTTGATTTGTTCGAAGCGAAACAAGAAAAGATATTGTGTTTGCAAATGCATTTGAGCTTTAATGCAGAACAGAGATTCCATCCAAACATCATTAGGTTTTGAGTTTTTCCCCTGAATCTATTCGCGGGGAAGCCAGGCGGAGGGTATGAATGAGTCATTTGCATCATATTGGGCATCATTAGCAGCTTTTACCAATCTTAAGACAGGGAGAGCTGCTTCTTTTTCTCATGAGTGTCCTTCTCTTGGAACACTGCAGGCTACAGAAGATGCAATAGCTTCCACAGCTGAGAAGATGCTTCTTTTCACTGCAAAGATCACATTCAAGCATGTGAATTATTTATCGTAGCAAATACAAATTAGCAAAAAATAATGTAAAAGCGGGGCCAATCTCAGGATATTTACCCTCAACTCAACCCCAACCCACTTAAGTGCTATTGTTGTGCCTGTTAAGCTTTCCACTCTGCTGTGGCGTCGTCGCAGCTTAGCAGATTTACCACTAAATTTTTAATATAATGGTTCCCTTACTCCAGACAGAGGTACTTTCAAAACCTCTTCTTGTTTTGTCAACATGTAAAAATGATTATAAGTCTGAATCAACTGTGACCTGAATCTGTGAAAGCAAATTTAAGAAACATTATTGTGGCGACGCAAAGAAAGGTGTTTAACTGTTACATAAATACACCCACTCCATGGCTGATTCTTCTTTGTTATAAAAAAAAAGCTAAACATAAAAATACAAAATTGAGATAGACTCCTCATTATGTAAATAAAGTTGTAGTTTTTGAAGCTGCTGCATTTTTTTCTGCTAGTAAGAATTTTAAGCATTGAAAATCACAACAGCGTAATTATCCACTTTTTTACTGATGGTCTCGTTCACTTTTAAAGGTCATTAAAAAGCTTCAGTGCCAGTTTCCGTCTATTTCTCAAGCAGGTAAAAACTCCTTACAGTCCCTTTAATATTTTAGCACATCAGCACCACATTTTTAAAAGTTATCAGGACTCTGAAAAGATTGTAAAAAAATAATTAAAAAAAAGAGCTGAGACCTGTGGCACTAATCGTTGACTGGATTAATGACTTTAATCTGGTAACATCACGACTTTATTCTCATAGTAAAATGATAATAAAACATAATGGCTATAATCTCATAAAACAGCTTTATTCTTGGCGTATTATAACTTCAGTGTTTAAATATGTTGATTTTAATCGTGCAATAATGTGACTATAATCCTGTGATTCAGGATCTGACAGTATAGCTATATTTACGATTTTTAAAATATTGATATCATACTAAAAATTAATTCATGGTATTAACATGAGTTCATAGAGGTTGTCCTTGAGGAGCAGCAGACTGTCTGCGCACTGTCTCAAAGCTGCTTTCTATGAGATGACTCAACACTGTTAAAAAACTGACACCCATATTAAACACTTAAACTTTTACACTTCTGAACAATTCTTCTGTTTCCATTCAGTCCCATAACACACTTACAAGTAGTCGCTTACCCTTTACAATAAACGCACGGTTTTAAAATCTAAGGAAAAAATACAAAAATAAATATGATATAATGACTTTAATCTGATCAAATAACGTCATTTTAAATTCCTTATTCTTTTTTCTTAACCCTTATGCTCCTTCATATCTTGGAAATCTGTTGCTCATAAAGTCTCTTGGTACAAAATGTTGCTTCTGATATAAAAGTTGTTGGACTCAATCTGTTTTCTGAATATTTCCTCTAAAAGGTACTTTAAGTGTTTTTTCTTCATATTAAATTTTAGCGGCTCATTCTCCATGAGAAAGCTGGGTCTTTATTCAGCACATCTGTTCAATAAACAGATTTATTTCACTCATCTAACTTCAATTGGACTCTAAAAAATACAGTAAATCCTCTTATATAAACCAGAACCTTTATTTGCTACAAATGGAGAAGGTCTCAGTACTTTATATGAAGCCGGCTTGAGATAGAGGCATCAAATTCTCTCTCTAAAGGAATATAGCTGTTTGTATTAAAACACAAATTGAGGTCTGATCCATTAAGGGATTGTGTAGCTTTTGGACCCAATAAACCTGTGCAAACCAGCCAAAAAGACATTTCCTAAATCACGGAGCGTGCACGAAGGGTTAAATGCTCCACAAACTGCACCACAGAGCAAATAGCGTCTCTGTGCATTCGTATTTTCATGCATTTAAAAGAGGAATTGTGCACGCATTTGCTAAAATGTACCTCATTCGTTGCAAATCAGCTTCATTGTAAAAAGCAATGCCTCATCCATTAACACTGGTGCTAAAATTCATGCAGAGTGAAAGTGACATTTTTACCAACTGTGCTTGAGAGTAATTCAAAATAACTATTCCCTCTCTGAATGACTTAGTTATAATGTACTCACTCTATACAAATGTGATGGTGTGTAAGATGTTCAGAAATAGTCTCCAGACGTTGTCATGCAGGATCATGTTTGTGGTAGATCTCATTAAAGATGTGGTTTCATCTTTCAACACAACAACACAGAATTACCAAAAGTGAAAGTGATCACGATATTTAGTGAGGAGATAAATTCAACACTTACACCCATGATTTAAGTCGTTACAACCAACTGTCTTACCTTCTATTAACCCCTTGAGTTCATATAGTTTCAAACTGACGGACCTGAAAGAGACGTAAAGAGACATCAACACTTTTCTTCAACCAGGCAATTGTTCATTTGTCGAGTAAAGGGCAGGAGAGGGAAGTTGCCTGGAGTCAGAGAAGACAGGCTCCTTTCAGCCTCGGGGTAACTTGAGATTTTCTTCCTGTAGATGATGCAGCTTTCAGCCAACTAGTCTGGAAGGCTGCGTTTCCCCAAAGGAACCCACGCTGCCTTCATTAAGCCCAATTGTCTGCTAATTCTGCTCTCAGCCAGCTAATACGAGCACGATGCATTACACCGATGAGGAGTTCATGCAGAAAGCTGCCTGGAAGAGATATATAACTGATTTACGGCTCCTTCAAATGGGGTTGTGTTTACTCTGTTCAGGGGAAGAGTCTGTGTGAACTCGTCCCTCTTGGGGTATTCGCGGCTTGGGAAGTGATATTTTTCAGGGAGCTTAGAGATAAAACTTTTGCTTTTTTGAATGAGTGAATAAAGCATTTACTTTGAGCCACTAGAGGCAGCCATATTGGATTCAAGGAGCCAGAAGTTAAAATATTTGGATGAAAGGATAAAACTGGAAGTAAGACTAAACTGTCAAAGTTTTACAGTCCACAATCATGGCTAATTCACTTGCCAACAAACAAGCGGAGTAGCTGTTCACCAGCTCGAATCTCTAGTGATAGAGTGACAGCTGACCAACGTGTACAATGTAACTGGAAATAATCTGTCTCTCATCAATACCATCTGCCGTTATTTCTCCAGGAAAAAGCTGACAACTTCTATTAAAAAAAAGTACATCTATCTATTTTCTGTCCTACAGCATTGATATATAAATATATGACGAACACTGAGTGAGCTAACATGCCAAGAGTGACGAGCTAAGCGCATCTGTTACATGCAAAAACGTCAATACACAAGTATCAGAGTTCTACTTACGATAAATGCTTTAACACAGACTTCTTGGAATGAGAATTAGTTTTATAAAACACACAAAATACATCGATATTTGTTAGATATTTTAATTAAAAATCCAAACAACAACCCTAACGCAGCTAAGAAGCTAAAGCTATGTTGGCAGCCAGCAGTATCCACCTATCACTCAGAGCCATAATGTCTAAAACTCGTTTGACCCATGATTGAAATGTATACGCTGTTACACTATAGGTGTAGAGGCCAAAACATACCGTAAACATGTTAATTATTGTGATAATTATTGGTATTTTAACATGTGTCTGAATGTTTTTTTTTGGCATGCCTCAAGTGGACGTTTGAGGAACTGCAGTTTCATGGACAAACTTTAGACATTTATTACACAGAATATAAATTTTTCTCCCCCCTGCCTGCGATGTTAACATGTAGTTACTGTAAGACTGGTTTGTGCTCAAGTCCTCTTTTTTCTGTGCAGCTCCATTTTTAAGTTATTGGGGGGTTCATGTTTTCTATGATTGACACTTGGTAGCTCACCCAAGGGATACACTGTTTGAGCTGAGTGTCATCACAGAGACTCTCCCGCTGAATGCGTACAATGCTACTGCGCAGGTGGTGGAGTGCGTACAATGCTACTGTGCAATGTTGGCTTCAGGAAGTGGAGAAAAAACGTGGAATTACTCAGAGCCTTTCCGCGTTCAAATCCCTACACAGGCGGAAGGCGGAACCAAGTGGTCCATAGTATATACAGTCTATGAGAAAACCTTACATTTTATAACAGCCTAATCTTTTCCCATGTTAAATGTATTCAACAAACATTAGATACCTTGTTAAGAGTTAACCTGCATTCTTATTATGGCCAGCAGGGGGCAATAGCTCCGACTGCAAAAAATCACATTGAAATCAATTAGAAGGTTAATATTTAATCACATTTTCTTTTAAGTTTATTGTCTCATTTGCTAGATTTAAGTCAGCTTCAATACAACATTACTTTTGTTTTGTAATTTTCCGCTTTCTCCACTCCCTAGGCTTGTCCAGCTTTCCCCGCCGCTCCATCAACAGCGGACAAATAAACAAAAGGACAGTTGTTTCAGTGTTAAGGGCTGGGTTGACAGCTCAGGATATGGGAGAAGAAATAAAAAGAAATGATACAACATTTCAGGTTTATTGGATAATGCCTTTGGAGTACCTTTTCGCTCACTACACTTACACCTCTTGACATCTCTGATCTGTGTTCCCGCTAAAGTGTCCATATGTTACAGGAGTCAGTGGGTGTGCTTTCACTGCAAAGCACGCCGAGCCAATTACAGATCAATTCATAGCTCTCTAAAACTTCTACAACTCTCGGCACACAGCATCAGCCAGGGTTGGGAAGAGGATTTGTCTGTGAAAATGTGTCACAGTTTGTCCCTTAGAGAGAGGACACTTGCTCAGAGAGAGTGATCCTAAAGTGGCACCTCAGAAAGCCTCTGCCAGGCCATCCAATATCCTGGGTTTATTCTGCGAGCTCTGCAGAGTTTCCTCAAATTGGCAGCTTGGGTGAGTTGTTTTGTAAAAGTTTGAGTGGTTTCATTTTGAAATGTCGCTGATATGCTTTTTTAGTCAACAAAAATGTTATAATATCTCTCTTTGCTTTTATCTGAAATGCTTAAAAGTTGCCCATTCAGCATCTGTGGCAGCCCTCCAATGCCTCCCTCTCTCTTTCTTTCTTTCTGTTCTCCATTTTTTTTACTCCAACCTTGTGTACTAAGGACTTATTAAAGCATCATTAACACCCTGTCCCCTAGAGACAAGAAACCTACCCCGGTGCACCTGCCTTTATATAAGGAAGAGTAGTGATGTCCAACAAAAAACACAAAGACAGGATTGGAAGCAGCAGACTATTACAGTGAGTGATGGAATATGAAAGAGAAGTGAGAGAAAACTGGTGGATGGTGTCAAAAAAGAGAGCGAGAGAAAGTAAACAGAGCAAGAGGGAAGCTGCGAATGTGAAGAGCGAGAGGAGAAAGGCAGATTTAAATGCAGCAAGGCAATAAATGTTCACTGAAAGACAAAAGAGGAGAGTCGAGAGGGAAGGGATGACTGTGCAAAGATAATGGGGAGGTGAGGTAAAGGAGAAGGTGGTGTCACACACAAACAAACAAAAAAAGATGCCACCTTCGTGCCAAAGTCAATGCTGCGACAGTGATGAATTCAAGACAAAAATAGTGAGAGCAGAAACAGAAACAGTCTCCGCCTCATTACCAGGTCTATAAAATAATAATAAAGGTCACAGAGGAGATGTCTGTCACTTTTCTCTTTACTCAACAAACTCATTTTTTATATTTGTTCCTTCTTTCCTCATCACCCAAAACTTTGAGGAACAAATCAACAGCCCTGTGACTGAAGCCCTCGCTACATTACAGTCAATTATGATTTAATCTTTTAATCATCTTTTAGAGAATTGAAATTAACTTATTTTATCTCTCTGACTGTCAACATCTCTTCTTTTGTCTTCTGGACTGTCAAGTTATAACTACATCATGAGAAGACGTCCTCATTAAGGCTTTTCCTGGTGAGGCTGAAATGATTCAAGATTTCAATTTCAGGCACTGAAGTGTTGAATATTTTTAGCTGTTAGAAAGAAGTACAGTATTTTTCAGATGGTACTAGGAAATAAATCAGTTTTAGTAGCATCTCTACGGCAGTTTAGAGATAGGGATATGGCAGATAGGGATAGTGAAAGATAGCCACCAAATCAAAGCAGCATGGGGCAAGTGCAGATGAGTATGTCCCCTGAAATTGATTTAAACAGACAATATAAAAATTAAAGGAAAAGCCTGTTTTGATTTTCTTACATTTATTCTTTTTCCAGTTAATTGTATCCAAAAAAAGTTAATATAGCTAGCTTACTTTTTAGCTTTTCCACCTTGTGATGTTTATGGCATTTCAACTTGTTAAAAATACAGTAGTTTTATTTGTCTACTCATTGTGTACAAAGTGTTCGAAGCTAGCTTATTTATAGTCACTACAGTTGAGCTAGCAGCCCGTTGGTAATCAAACTTCTCCTAACAGTAACTTTCAAAGCCCTTCTCTTTGTGCTGTATATCTTATTTTGACTTGTCTAATCACTTGAAAATATCTTAATATTTAATTGTCTACCTCTTAAGTGTTAAAAACTAGTTCACTGCCTTTCTCTGTTACTGCTGTAGCTTTGCTTAGATCAGTGAACTCCTTCAAACTGTAGCGTTTGTACTGAATAAAATATAAGTTCATTTATACCTTGTCCTCTTTCTTTGTATGGACTAACTGTCTGTAACTAGCTTACTTTCATTAGTCACCACTACAAAGGCTTGGATAGCTGAGGGAACATCAGTAAAGCTCTCAAACTGTTGGATCTACTATGTGAAGTTCATCTTGATAGAACTTGTTCGATCAATTAACATTTTTTGTGTGCATATGTTGCTTAACAAGATGTATTTTTGCCTAGCAAATATTTATAGTGAGTTTGGTGCCACTGTCATTGCAGGTCAGCCTGCTTGAAAAATAGTCTAATTTCTCTGTCGACCTCCCTGAGGTACGAACATAAAACCAGTAATGTTGTTTCATTCGCGAATGATTCATTCAAAAGAACCAAATCTTTTAAGTGAATGTACTGAACTGAGTCACTTCCTCGAGTGATTCGTTTGTTTCTCACTTCAGTTGAGCTGAAGTGAGAAACAGCATTGCCAGTCGAGCAGCCAGGAACGAGGGACCGCATGCAACGACATCTGAATCACTTGGTGAACGAATCACGCATTGAACTACATTCTCTGGAATCATTTTTGTCGGACAAAGCTACCTTTTTTTTATTTTATTTTTTTTACTGCTCAATTGCCACCACAAAAACTAAAAAACAATAGGACACAGCATGTAACAAGTAGTGCATAAAACCCGCAACATCCTATCATTGCAACGATTTGCGAGGGAATGGTTCACGTTCAGTGAACGAATCACTCACTGATCCCAATTTACCTGATAAATAGCATACCATAGGACAGTAAAACATCATGACCTATGAACAAGTTCATTTTTACAAACCTGTTTACCAAAGCAACACATCCAAACACTCTAGCTGTGTATCAGTTCAGGAGGTCGGGGTCGCAGGCTTCTCCCACCAAACGCTACATGATTCTGTTATTTGGTGAACAAATCTTTTGAATGAATCCTTTTAGTGAACTGATTCTAGTGATTTAGTACATCTAAAAGAACTGCCGTGCCCATCACTAGCAACCAGCCTTGGCTACCTAGAAGGAATGAAATCAGTCTAGAGCTTCTGCTATGACAACAATGGTGAACATGCAGTGTATAATCAAGGTCTTAAAGCTACAAATCCACCAACATGCTCATTTATTTGACTTGGTCATACAATCAAAATACCCAGTAGGTGTTTGATGCTTTCTATTCATTTTTCCTTGTTTTGTTGTTTTTCGAGGTTTTAAGACAGCATCTCTAATTAGAGGAAGGATTAGATGTAGAGGATAATGTGTGAGCACCGGCGTCTGTCTGCACATGCTTTTATTAGATCAGCTCGTCATCTTGGATTTGGAAAGAATTGGGAAACAGATCTATGTACTGATGGATTAAAACTGCCCGGGAGAAACCAGCCTGTGTAAGCAGGGTATGGCTTATACATGAATTCGCATAAGATGTGAACAGCAATGTGATCCTCAGGCACCGGCAACCAGCTCTGGACGTCAGCTGTGTGGATGCTATTAGCGCAGGAGGTCTAACAGCTCAAGAGGTGCATGACGTTTGGGTGGAGGAGGATTTGGAACATGGTGGGTTGAGCGTGATGGGCACTGAATTGAAAATCTCTCTCTTACCGTCACACCAAGGCAACAGACGGCCTGTGGACAGGAGCTGTGACTCACTGCCGGTACCGTGACCAGCCCCCGACAGCTGTTTTGGCACCGTCTTATGATGGGTTCAGTCATGTTCAGTCCCAGGTTTCATACAGAGACTTTAATCCTGGTGAAAGATTGCGATTCTTGGCCACAGGCCTAAGGGAACACAGAGACATGGCTGCTTATTTGTGTGTGCGCTTGTGTGTTGTTCTGCCTCTCCCTCTTTCACTCTGTCTTCTTGCATGTTTGTGCCATCGTGCTGCAATCCTGCCATCTGTCCTAGCTGAGAATCAGGTGCTGAATGCTTTGTGACTTGGCTCCCAGCTAATTCTGTGTTCCCCAGTCTCATTCTCTCTCTGAGGCCTGTTTATGCCTAAATGAGCCCAATTGAAATTACAAGGATAATAGCACTGAGCTGTGCAAGTCCAATTTGCATCCTGGAACTAAGGAGTGTGACAGAATTGTAATACCATAAACTAACCACTGTTACAACCGAAGCAAGACTGCAATCTTTTTTCCATTTGCTTCCATTTTCTTTCGGAGGATATGCTATTTCCCTCCATAAACAAGAGACAAATGAAGCAGGAGAAATGAATGCAAGGTGGTGCAAACAGCTGTTCAGCTTTTAAATAATGCACACAATGATATCGACAATAGACAAAAATCATGAAGCCTGGTTGCATCTCAGTTCTGAATACAGTATTTTTTTTTCTTTTGTGTCCCACAACATCCTGTAATGGACTTTTGCAGTGTTATCGCAGCAAAACATTATCAATAATGCATTGACTGAGGGAACCATGTGGGCCACAGCACAAAAGCTATTTTTGTGTCAAAGCAAAATACACTGATTTGTCTTTTATTTGCAGCAGAAATGGAGACCACACAGACATTGTAAGCCTTCAGTGTTGTGTTTACCTACTGCTGCAGATCCCACAGGAATACATGAGATCACAGATAACCTCGACTAACACAGGTCACACAGATGTATGCAGTGAGAATACAGATACTGACAAGAAGAAGAAGAAGAAGGTCTTTTTATGATGAATGTAGATCCATAGTTGAGGTAGTGAATCACGCCTACACAGTATGTTGCACAGTTAGCCACTGCCACCTACATATGAGACCCTGTTGGAGGTCTTATAGCTCATGCAGCCTGTCGTCATGTTACACAGCAGCTCAGCTGTGTTCACAGCTCCCTGTAATAAGTGATACCCCACCTCTTTCCAACTGATGGATAGTAAAATATGACTTCATACAGCCTGCTCTCATTCCCTCTACATCCAATTTCCTTTGCATGTAACCCCAGGGTATCAGACTGCCATGCAAAAAAAAAAAAAAGGTACTCAGCCTCTGCAAATCATTTCGCCCCAGCCATTGCATCAGGCGCCTTGGACATCATCGAGAAGAAATAGTGAATTAGGGAGAGAGGCGGCAAGACAGAAGCAGGTATATGGGAGACTTGAAATGAGTCAACTAAGACAGATGGCCGAAAGACATGCTTATTTCCAGGGTCATGCATAAATAGCAGAACAGACTTGTTCTGCTATTATTATTTTAGGTCTACTCCAAGTGTGCTAGTGAATGAATCACCTCTGACAGCACCCCATTTCTTTCCACATTTATTTGCAGAGCAAGACAGATTGTGCACAAGCTATTTAACATACAAACAAGTGTATTTTACAACTTTTATGTCCACAAGCACACAATTTGGAGAAAATATGTGGTTATAAACAGTTTGATTATAGATGCATACTTTTTTTTAGCAATATAAAACTCACTGAAGGCTCAAGAAGTAGAGAAATGTCATGACTGCGTTTTTTACTTGCATGGCAGACATGGTTTTAAAACAATACTTCAAGATCTTAGAAAGTGTACTTTATGGCTTTGTTGCCAATGCTGTGGTTAGAAAATCAATAGCAGTCTTTCTGCTGTTTAATATGATGCCACAGCCAGCAAATTGTCAACTCAGCACCTCTAAAATGGCTAATTAATATATTACATTTTCTTTGTTTCAACCACATGAACAAAAAAAGAAAAAATCAAAGTAAAGATGTGGTTTTATAGGATTATATGCTGAGTTATTTCTTGGCTGGATGCAGTGACTTGAGTCTTGTCGTTTCTGTAAAGCTGCCAGGCAGCCTGCAGAGGCTTAATCTTGTAAAATATAATCTTGTAAAAGTAATAACTTACTTAAAGGGGAAAAAAAATGCCTCTCCAACCCAAACTGGGCTGTCACATCAGTCTTCACATGTACTGCTATGTAAATATTGTAGTTTACATTGAGGTAAAATGTCCTCTTTATTCGAGATGTGCGAGGAAGTAGTCCTCATAAGGATCACTAAACCTGCAGACAAATATACAAAGAGTCAGCAGAGGCTCAAGAAAGTGGTAATTCTTGTAAATGTCACCACTCACAAATAAAAAATGTCTCCCCAGATTTAAATGTCTTGCGAAACAGGCTGTCATGCCAGTCCTTACAAGTGATGGTAAATTGATGTTATAAGTCACATTCAAGTAACAAGTCCTCTTATTCTGAATGTGTCTGAGAATGTAGTCCCCTCATTGACCAATAAACCTGCACACCTGACACACACGTACACAAAAGTCTTCTGTTTCTCAGTTAACACCAGATGGCACCTTATTCTTGTAGCATTCATACACCTTGATGCTGAGCAAGATGTTAATCTTGTAAAACTAGCTGGGTTGCCTGGTCTTATGACACATATCGCACATAAAATCTGAGGAACCCCTATTTGATGGAAATTGGGGAGATAATCAGGAGCAAGTATGAGTCACGAGTACAGTGGGAAAAGGGGTTAGACTCCCAACAATTGGTGGTGGGTATGCACCATTCCTTGCAAGGAATGCTTGAGAAATAGTGATAATTTACATATAAGAGAAATGTCCTCTGAGCTTGAAACGTCTGAGGTAGTAGACCCCACATGGCACACTAAACCTGAACACCCACACACACATGCCCAAAGGCTCAATACTGATTTTCAATTGCATGTCAGTCAGTTCTCATAAGTAATGTTTAGTAAATAAAAGTAACACAAAACAAATTGTCCTCTTAACTTAAACTGTCTGAGGAAGAAGTCCCCATGATGACCACTAAACCTGCTCTCACACATACACAAAAAGCACATAAAGTCTTAATTGGCTCATTTTTACACCCAGCAAACTGCAATTCCCTCCCAAATTCTTTCAGCTCTTCGAAAGCTGATGCTATGCAGGATGCTTTAGAGGACAGACCTTAGGATAGACCTATGTGATGCATGAAAGGCTGCGGTACAAATTTCTTCTGGTCATGGCCCTCACTTTCAGAGCTCAAACTGGGTTTAATTCTATCCTGTCAGCAGTTACACCACAGACAGGGCTGTAGCTACCAGCTTCAGCTGAAGACGTGGCTCCCATAATGATCCTCCCACCCCACTGCTGCGGGGTTTTGCTCTCATCAAAGCTAATACAGAATCCCCCCGCTGGAGATGGACGCAGGGTGCAGAGGAGGTGCGGCAGCTGTGGATGAGCATGATGCTAAGCCACACATCAAGACTTTATTCGCTCTAGGGACACTTTTCTCAGATAGGTTGGGAGCTGTGGATCGATGTTAGGAGCTTTAGTGGTGGAGTAGAGAGCTGTCATTATTTACCAGGTATCTCTGTGGGTTAACTTTTAGTCCCCAAGCTCTCATCTAAACTCAGCCACTGTGTAATTAGCATTCACAGCAGACGTTTTACTTTGTGTTAGGTCCTTATAGGCCATGAATCTCATATCCCCTGTTCTAGAAACTCTTTATTCAAACTGCGTCCTCAGTGAAATTGCCTGCCCACAGAAGCTCCCACAATGGTCCCAAACACAATCACAACTTCCTATTGCATTGCTACTGAAATGCAAACAAATGCTGTTAGTGCTCTGAGGCGCTTAGTGAGATATCACACAAAGTTTTCATCTGTCAGAGATGTTTCAGGATTAGAGCGTAGTTGCCAGCTGCACACCTGCGCTGGCGCTACATGTCAGACAGGCACGGCTGCATCTCGGGAAAAGCGTCTGAATTGAACAGTTAGTGACAACAACAAATGGTAGGAAGGCGTGCAGAGACATCGAGAAGCGTCTGGGCTTTGGTGACAATCTGCCACTTTATGACAAATAACTGGCCGACTGGTTCCCTAATTTGCCGTTCAATGTTTTAATTGGTTTAAGAAAGCATCTGCTTATTAAACATATAAAGAAGTAACACTCACAATCAGAGGAAGAGAGTATTTCAGTACGCTAGTGTATATTTTTTTATTAAAGTAGAGAAAAGCTTTGGAAAAGAAGCGGGGAAGATCCATCTTCTTGATTTATCATTTATGAAATATGTATTAGCTCAGCTGGAATTTGTGGTTGTGCATATATGTGTGTGCAAGAGAGACAAAAATCAGTGAGGAAGGCAATTATTTTAAGAAAAGACAGTGCATGATTAATAAAACAGTTTTAAGGCAGTTGTAGGTTTAGGTTAATTTACGGTAAGAGCGGCAGATTGAACTGGAAGGGGATAAAATAAGGAACCAAATCATTTAAGTGGAAAAAAGAGCAGGGAAGAATCTGAATGTCTTATTCAGAGGTCTTCTGAAGGTTTTATTCCATACTTCCAGTAATTACAGGCCATAAGGGGAAGAAATAGTGTTACAATGGTTTTACAATTTTCTCACCTTTATCCCACATTTATATCCTATTTTATGTAGATCATGTGCAACATAGGTAATGTGAATAGTATTGTTTTTAACCTCTGTTTGGGATTTTGTTTTTGTTTAAAAACAACTGTAAGGGCATATTGTATTTAATTGTATCATATTGTGTCATATTATATTGTATCGTATATTATTATATAACATCCTTTCCATTGTTTCCTGTTAAACTGCATCTGCATATTATATCACATTGTATCTTATCATATTGTCATTGTAATGTTATCACATTGTATCAAATCATATCAAAATAGCATTGTATGTATTGTATCATATTGTATCATTATAACATATTAAATTGTATCATTATCAAATTGTATCGTATCATAACACATCATATCCTGTTGTTATTATATTGCATCAAAATGTATTAAATCTGTCATACTGTTCTGTTGTATCAAAATTTATCCTTTCACATTGTATTCCACTGTTTGCTATCACTTTGTTTTGTATTGTACCTTTTTAAACATTATCATATCATGTTGTATCTTATTGTATTGTACTATATCATACTTGCTTGTAAAGTATCATGTACTAAACTTTTTCCAAGGTTTTCCACAGTTTTCTATCATTCTGATTGTATCATTTATATCGTTTTGTATCATACATCGTATCAAATTGTACGTTAAAATGTTTTTTATACTATTTTCTATCCCAAAATGTTGCATTAGTTGTATCACTTGTTATCTTATTGTGTTATGTCATGTCATTAATTTGTTAACCAGTAGCATTATGTAGTGTCCTATCCTGATGAATATAGTCTTGTGTTATCCTGTATTGTATTAGACCAGATCCTATCTTACCAGACAATTTTAGATCAAGATGTAAATTATAATTCATATTCACTATCTGATGCCTTGTGAATGAATTTACCTTTTTCTTCATTCTGATAACACCAAAAATCGCATTGAAACACTTCTGTATGTTGCAGGTTCACCTACTCGACACATACAAAAAACAGCTTGTAGTAACACACTGTTGCACCACTGAAAAATGAAGTCTTGCTAAGCAGCATATGTGGTTTTGCTCAGTCCATATTGCCTTAAAACAAAGCAGCTGTTGATTATGTGCCTTGCTTAGCCCATCAGGAAAGACATTTGTGTCAGTCCCCTTATTTGTCTTATTTCAATTACTGTGTGAATCTACTAAGTTGAAAACGTGACACTTTCTAACTAGGGAATAAGTGCCTGGAGAACAAAAATGTCATGCCAGTAGCCCCCTATTAACCCCAGTCTACCATCGTGCTATTTAAGGTCGTCTATTTGTGATGCAATGTCACAAACCTTGGGCATTTCATTAAGATGCCAAAAATGGCTTTGTTGTGTGCCGTACAGTCCAAGTTAGCATCTGTTTAACATTTAGAGAATGTCAAACTGTCTGTTTTGGTTAGACTTACACAAAAAAACACATGGTTAAGTTCAGGAAGTCTGCCTTGGGGTAGGTTATTGCTTGCCACTGTCATTCGGGTTTCACACGAGACTTGATCCAAAATTTTTTGCCTGAAAATCTGATGATGCTAATCTATTATTTCTGACTGCCAAACAAGGTTGACTTTATCTTGGTCAATATAGCAAGTGCCCTGTGCTTCGAGGGAAAATCTCTGCTTCAACTCTTGACTTGCACCCATTTGATGCATGCCCCTCTCCCCTCTCTCTCTTTTTTCCACATTTCTTGTCTGTTTTTCACTGTCCTGTCAACAAAGGCAGAAGGCAGAGAAAAAAAACACTTGATTTTGGCACATCTCATACAGACACTGAGGGGGAAGCTTGTGCAGCTCTACACAAACCCTGAGACCAAGACAAGCTGTCTGCATTGATGACTGTGGAACAAGAATACACTGTGTGGGGTGCCTTGATGGCTGGATTGGTAGAACAGAGGCTGCAGGTTCAACTCCTAGCTTTGGCCCTTTGATGCACATCTACCCCACACTTTTCTAGCCATATTTCCTGTCATTCTTCAACTGTCCTGCAAAATAAAGGCAAGGATGCTCAGAGAATAAAAAAGGGCAGTCTGAGTCTTGCTAGCTGGCCCTAGAAAACTGACAGGATAAAGTTATTAAAACGAGATGGGACTCAGGAACCTTCAAGCAAGGTTAACTGCTGTGAATTTAACCTGAACAGCTCTGCAAATGCTGTGCCTCATTTTCTGTTTATTCTAGTTCTATAATTTCTGAGGATGGAATGTGAAACATGAGGGCTGGGTTCGGAGGAAGTTGCTTCCCCAAGGAAAAAAGTTCAAGCACGTTATGTTTGCAAAAAGAAAGTGTAGGAACTCAATACTGACAGACAGTGTTGGATAAGAAATACCAAACAGCCATAGTGAAGAGGAAGGAAGTCTAAAGGAAGAGATCAAGTTGATGTTCAGTCTACTTTCAGACACACGGATTTTGGGTAACAGCCAGAAATATGAGATTTCAAACAGCTGAAACCAGTTTATATGACTCCAGATCTATTATCCTTTCACTTTGAAAAAAGGGCTGGTTGAGATAGTCTAAGTATCTGATAGGGATGTCTCATAAACAGCTGACAGGTTTTCTGCTCTTGCCTCACTTCTCCTATCCCCTGAGCACAAACCTTAGCTCTCTTACCTGCACAAGCTAACAGACTTACACATTTAAGATAGGTTAAATTAAAGTCATCAGTGCCTACGCTGTATTTGACTGTCTTACTTTGCTGTAGATGAATCTGCGTGTTCTTTCGTTCTTAATTTTTTTTTTTAAACGTATGTTCATAAAGTCTCCTTGTCATTTCTCTGGTCTTGTCCTCTGTCTTTCGTTTACATGGGTTTTGGGGACATGCCATTTTGACAGTTTGCAGCAGGGGTTTCCAAACTTTTCTGGTTCAAGACTAAAAATAAAAAGTTGATGTCTCTGTGACCTGGATTTTAAAGGTGCACCATGAATCCCCAAAATACTCACATGTATCATAATATTATACTAATGATAAGGAAAACTAATGATTTCACTGCAGGAATGCAATTCTTTAGCCAGGCTGAATGAGCCAACTCCTGTAAGCCAACTATGAAGAGCTTTTTGGGAGCTAAAAGAGCTGGTTCTTGCAGAGCCAAATAATCTAGATCATTGACAAAGAATTCCCTGAATATAGAGCATAAATGCATAGATGGTCAACTGGCGAAAGAAGGCTCTAAACCTTGCTTTTACATGGCAAGATGGATCACGGACAACTTGAGCAAGACTTTGCAAAGCTGAAGTTAATTTTTGGTTCTTTATGGATATAAGGTTTTTGGATAGAATTTTTCACATGACGGATTGTGGTGACTCTCCATTGCAATGGGAGGGGAGTCAGACTTTTGACAGTTTTTTAAAGTTTTTAATGATTAAGTTAACTTAGCACAACCTGTAAATAAATGTGGGACCCTCAGCCTATAAAGAGGTTGTGAATTGAGTCACCCAGGAGGAATAATCCATTCAATTGTTGACATCTTATTCTAACAAACCCAATAAAACCTGAGTGCATCTCGAAACCCAATGAAAACAGATTGATTACCAGATTTGGGTTTGAACCCTCAGTTTAGGAAAAGTTGTTTGGTGTAACAAGAAGAGGGCAGTGGTTAGCCTCTTGAACTTTGCATGGAGGGAAAGTAAAAATGTTTTTGACCCTGAAGCAAAAATTAAAGTAGTTTTTTTTTTTTTTTTTTTTTTTTCTGAGTATGTGGACTGCAATGAAGCTCCAATGCATTCAACTCTGGGAACATCTTGGCCTTCTCCAAGGAGTATCGATGTTTTCCTGCTAAATCAGCCGTAACTTGGATGTGTTAAGGCGTTGAAAATCAATCTTCAATGGAAACAATTACTAATGGCAAAGTCAGATAGATCAGATTTATCCTCTTTTTCTTGCTACGGAGGAGAAGATTGTAAGAGGTGTCTGAACAGCACTTTAAAGAGATGGCATGACAATTACTGATGAGCACCAATGTGCATCTGCTAATTGAAAGGCTTGCTATATTTACATGCCAGTAGCATCTTCATTTCCAGGGTTTGTTGAAAGCTTCGAAGGGGAACAGAAATCAATGACTGAAAGAGAAATCTCGAGTGTTTCAGGGAAATCAGGTGCACCGTACAAACAATCTTCACAGAAGTTGTTCAGACTGATGATAACTAACAGTGTTAGAGTACCTGAGGTTGGATTATCCCTTAAAAAGTTAATGCTTCCTGATACCCGCTGAGGCTCCATTGAAGATACATCAATTCAGAATATTTGATCCAGCTGGGTTTTGAAGATGAAACATCTTTGTTGTACTTCTAAAGGTGTGTGCTTGGCATTTTCTGATCCAGCTGTCATTTAAGGTAACACTTACTGACAACTCATGCAGACAAAAGTAATGTGGAGACAGCCCTTATAAAGAAAGTGTTGACTCAAGAGTCGTGATACTGAGTCACAGCGGGTATTTTGGCGCTGAGACAAAAAGAGGAAGTGATGTTGTTGGGACTATTAGTAACTTTTTTTGTCTACCTTATACTTTTACCAATGTGGATGCATGACTCAGCAACCACGGTAAAAACAAGATACACTTATATAATAGTTAAAAATCAGCACATACAAGGTACAACTTAAAATTGGGAAGATAAAAAATGAATTGCAGTACCATTTTTAAACAGCAGGGGTGCTATCAGGCTTTGACCTGTTACTTGACATCTTTGCATCTCTGTCATCTTTAGCTGATCAAGGTGTTAGGACATGGCGACAACTAGTGGAGATGATGTTTTTTAAGGATGCACTGTTGGCGTTTCCCACACATAGACGATACCTCTGTGGTCCACCTCAGTATATACCATATACCTGAGTATCTCGTGCGGCTGAGGCTAAATGAGAAAGACTTTGTTGACTCTCATTGGAAAGGTTGTTGGTTTAATCCCAGCTCCAGCTAACATATACCAAAGTGTCCTTAGGGCTTGACACTGAACCCCAAATTGTTCCCAGCCAGTGGGGTGTCGATGGGAATGAAAGGAATTAGTTGTCAGTGTATGAATGTGTTGTAAATGGGTCAATATGACTTTGTGTGAAAGCGCTTTAAGTGGTTAGAAAGAAATTTTTATACTTTTCAACAGCAATTACTTACAGTGAGTAAAACTATTTACTGTTGGAACCAAAGGTTTAGGTTTTCATCCAAAAACATTTCTTCTTCATGAGCAGAACAAAGAATTGTCTGTAGGAGGCGCCAAAAACAACACAGTCCAAAAGTTCCTCACTGACAAACTGAAGCCAACACAGATGTATTTTCATGGGCTACAAAAGCAAACAAAGCAATAAGCAAAAAGACCTTAGATTTTAATAATCAATAAAAATTATATTTCTATTCTTTTTTACATTCAGTTGTATCATTTGGCCACAAGAGGTGCCAAAATCAGCGAAAACATAAAGTTCCTTTAAGTTCAGCTTCAAGCTGCAGTTTGCACTATTTTGAGCTTGTTTTTAGGATCAGATAATAATCAGATTTACATATGTTATGGTGATTGGTTAATTTGCATAATTTCATGTAGTTACAGCATTGCTACTCCCCGGATTGGTTACCGAAATACACCACCAGGAAAGTAAATGGGGCTGCACAGTGGGATTTAGGATGAAAATATTGTTACAGTTTTCTCCTCCTGGACACTATGAGAAAAATATATTTTTGTTTGTTGGAGTGTTTGAGTGTATATGTGCAGAGAGAGCCAACAGTCAGAGTCTCTACTGGTGCCAAAGGAGACGCCTGATGACAGCACAGTGCAGTGTCAACCTAATACCATTAGATGAATTATTCTCCCCATTTTTCAGTCTGGCTCTGGGTAGCACAAGCTTGACAAGCCATAGTCCATCCTCTGCAATCCCCTCAGTGGCTCACTGATATCATTCCAATTCACAGAGCACTATTCGCATTTTTTCACTCAGCTGTAGGCTTTTCCATAAAAGACATTTTAACATGCCCTGGCAAGAGAAGCGCAGACATAACTAATAAGATTTATGATGGTCCTGTTCCTTTGAAGTGTTACAGTGATGGCTTGGTCACACCTTCATTTCAGTCAAACTTTGTTGAAAATTGAGGGACCAATTCCCAGTGATGCCCGGGGGTGAGCTGTCCTAACCTTGGAGGAAAGAGGAGGCGGGAGTTTCCAAATGGAGGTGAACTTTTGTAAGTGAAGTAAGTGTATTTCACTACCAAGTCTCACGTATCTGTTAAACTTGATCGCAAGCCTCATTATAGCTGTCAAGTCATGTCAAATGTCCACCATGAATAAAGATTAAAACACATACTCTCAATGACATCCATCCGGTGTCAGGCCAAGTTAAGATAGTTTGAAGTGCTTTTACTAAACTCAGTTGAACCAAACCTTTTTCTCTTTTTGTAAATCATCTTTTTCTAATATCTGCTTCCAGCCTGAGGTTTTTACTTTCATTTTTTACAACCTCTCATAAATGGAAATACCCTGACGTGTCATGGTCCATGATTTTTAACATCAACGCATTAGTCTTGCACGTCAGACATATCTTTCTGCCCATTAATAGTATTCAAGCTGTCAAGCCAAATAGCCATCTGCTCATGGAAAATACATTTATGAGACCTGAAGACTGAAGCAATACTTATTTTGCAGTATTTTCAATAAAGATGTTATTGCCATTTAATGTCATACAAAGAGATTACAAGCTTGGCTCCTTGTTGGCGAGAATAGGTTCACACTTTATTTATCACACTTAGTACATAAGTACATAAAAAGTGCCAGAGTTACAGTACTGCAGTGATAATAAATAGATAAGGTGCATCATAGTAATTACTATAGTCATAGTAATAATATGATAATAAAGCTGCTATTATTTTTTAGGATTATTAAGGTTGACAATGGCCTCGCAGAAAAAATGGCTAATGTTCGTAATAGTTGAGATTTTAACATAGTCATAGTCATATTATTTATGTATAAAATCTGCCGGCAGTTTTCATTTGCTTCTCAAGAGGAGTTTTTTAGTCAAATGATGATTATGGTTACTTTAGAAATGCTAACAAACGACTACAAACATCTCAGCCAGTTTTAAAAAAGACAAAGAAGTAGAATTAAGCCTTCTGGCAAATTTCACATTGCATCCACCTGTTAGTCATTCACCTACAATCCTTACTTTGCGAATTTATGCATAACTCTTGGCCCTGTCTATTCATAGATTGATAACACCTTGCCACAATCAAAAGTTTGGGGAAACACTGATGTTTTTACACATGGCAATTGTTTTTTTACATGTTGCACATGCATCCAGATGGAAGGCTACTGGTTTTTATACATCTCTTTGGTACTGTTTGGTTTAACTGCATGTTAATAAGAAAAGTTACATCACACTTTGCCAGTATATATAGTTTAAAAAAGACAATTTAAGTACTCAGCAGAAGTGCAATTTTTTTCAACATTTTTAAAAGTTTCTGCATTGTCAAGTATATATGATGGAGTAATATCCAAAAATACCTCTAGTGTGTAAGGAATTTTTAATCTTAAATGAAGAGGGGGAAAAAGCCCCCCTGTCCAGTCTGTTAAGATAAAAACTCCACTATCCAGACCAAATCTGTTTTTTTATTCTGGTCTGTAAACATGTCTAATTTTCCTGTGAAAACGTGTTATTACAAATTGACTCTTGGCTTTTGCAGCAGTCCTCGAGTTTGGTGAGAGTATCATGACATTGCAGGGTCAAGTGTGTGTAGCTGATTGGCTCTGATTTGGACTGGGTGTGAGGAGCTGGTACACCCTTGGGCTTCAGGGCTTGGTGCTGACTCATTATCTCACTTTTAGAGATAGTGTGAGCTTCCTTCTCCGTCTGCTCATTGTGTGTAGGAGTGTGTCAGCAGAAAGCACCTCAATGACCTTTGGTGTGATGTGAATTTTGTGCCGTTTTTTGGGGGTATTATGGTCAGTATTGGTGTGAACCAGCTGGAATGAAAAAGCTGGGTTTTAGGGGTTTCACCTCAAATCAATAATGGAATACTTGAAACGATAAAAGGTGAAATGCAGTTGCCTGTGCATACACGGCCGCAGCCACGAGACTCATGAGCAAAACAAACATGGCAATAGCAACAAGTGTCTTTGTGAAACTGATTTAGACTTTTGGTCATGAATGTTAAAATCAAGACTTTAAAGAGCAGGATACAGGATGGTGATTCCCAACGAGTACCTTAAAGCCAGTCAGGTCACACTGGAAAGAACTAAAACAGCATTACTACAAGGCCAAACATCAGAACAAACATGACCTGGATCCAACAACTCTCAGATCTCACATAAACATGGATGCTTGGTATCCATTAATGGGTGGGTTACATGGCGAAACAGTATAGAGGAGGTTGTTCGGGCAGCTATAAACTGATGTAGATTTGCTGTATCTGCACAGGAATGTTAGAGATTCATAGTTATAAGCCTGTACTGGTTGTAAAACAAACCTCATGGGCACATGCATGAATAAGAAGCAGAAATTAGAAACCAGGACGCACATATTTGTATATGAATAACTACATTTCTCGGTGTACATGACCCTCAGTAGAGCTTAAAGGCTCTAAACTGGATGTAATTGGTTTTACATTCAATGATCTATTGCAATCGAGCAAAACTGTTGTGGCATCAATACTGTATGTAGCTTTGCCCAGCACATTCATCCACTTTGGTTAAAAAACCAGGTGCCTGCTTGGTTCTGAAAGACCATGTTTGGTGGTATTTCTGTATTGAAATAGAGCATTTTTATCAGTAATTCCCAGAAAGAAAAGACCAGGGACATTCTCAAGGTTGCAGCCCTCTTTTTTTCGTGCAAAAAAGGCTCTCAGCAAGAGGATGCATAAATGCCTTGAGTGATATAACCTCATTATAATTAAATGCTTCTCCTAGGACTTCTTGGAGTTTCATGTTGCTTAGCAGAGTGCAAAAAGGAAGTCTCTTGCATGCCAACAATGCTTCACTAGTCTGATTCACCCTGGCATCACCAGCTCTACTTGACGTTTAATCAGAGGAAGCTTTTTTGACCTGCTTGAAAGGTGTTGATGTTGAAATGACAGTGATGAATTACCTCCGCATGCTTTGACCTTAGGTGGTACGTTCACACTTTCATAATTTAATCTTTCCCCTTTTCCAAATTAGGTATTTTTTGGCAGGATGCAGCCAAGGGGGGTGATTTCAGGTGACTCTAATCAATACAAAATCAAGTTTAGGCAAGTTTCTCTGGCATTTGTTAAAAATTCAAAGGCAAAAAAAGAGAGAGGACATTATTGCCCTCAATTTTCGGCAACAATGTGACAGAGTTGGAGTTGAGATAAGAGGCTATGAATGCGGAAAAACAACAAATTCAACTACCTGACACACATGTGCAATGGCGAACGGCTTATTGTAGAAACAGGACCACAAATCATTGAAGTGACAGCTTGAGGAATCACAGCCTCTGAATGTGGTCAAGGCTAGTCCAAGGAGCCAACCAGTTGCTATTTTAGAGGCTATTAGGGTCAGTGCCTCGGTCCACAGAGAGCTATAGAGAACAGCCTTGGTTCTGCTTGTATCTGATATAAGGGACACATAAAAATACAAAGTCAATATTGGTAATCACAGCATACACACAGGCGTTTGCATGTGCAGGTCTCTCTATGCTAATTCAAGCATCTGTTTTAGCAGCTGAATTTGCATCTGCAAATGACTGGGCCCAGAAAAATCTATTTTGTTGTTTGATTTAATGGCAAATAAAAGCACAGGAGATGAATGTGGGATCTAGCCTTTCTCTGGCATGGTAAAATATTCAGCTCTATCACCTGATTAGAAACCTGCAGATAGAAAGCTAGTGGATGAAGTCTTACATGAAAACCCATGGAGATAATGATTATTAGGGATGTTTAACATTAGTCTTCATACACTGTTATTCACATTTCCTAGAACTGAATAAAGCCAAAGAGCACCGTGTTATGAGAACATGAAAACAAGAACATTACAGCCTTATACCTGGATTACTCCATTTCAAGTCTCATTGAGAGAATTGATTTGATCTTGTTGAAAGCATGAGGTACTTCTGACTGACTGAAATGTAACTGAAGTAAATAAAAGGAGAGTAAAGGACATTGAACAGACAAAAAAATCGAAGTATAACCAGCTCTTAAGTTGACATAACCTTGCTAGTAATGCTGTAATGCTCGACCTTGTCTGTTACATAGTCCTTTACATTTTCACTGACATTGTCCATAACAACAGCTGTGTTTACATGGGCACAAATAATCGGAATAAAGACCTATTCAGAATAAAGATGCATCATGTAAACATGCCGATCGGAAGATTTGGATCCAATTTGACTTAATCGGAAAGAAATTGTATTTGGATTGTTAGAAGTGTTTTATGCCGATTGTTGTTCAGAACCACATCCATGTAAACACTTATTGCAATTGTGACACTCTGTCAGGGCAAAATTAACCTGACTGCACACTTCCGCCGTTAGTGACAAGATGTAAACATGGCAGGATCCAAGAGCGATTGGTGTGTGTCTAACACAACTTTCTTGCTGGATGATGATCATGTATGCCATGAGCAATACAGCTGCTCTCAGAACCTGGTTTAGGTTCATTCTGAGATGAAGTGAGTCACTATTGCATTTGTTGGTTTGTTGACAGGACAGGTCTAAATACAACTTTTCTTCTGCGGTTGTTTTAGTGAAATTAGACAACTCTGCACATGTCCAAATGCTTCTAATCTGAATAAAGGAGGTTATGTTTTCGGTACCGTTGGTTTGTATGTTTGTTTGTCTTGTAGCAACTTTACGGAGAAAGTAACAGATGGATTGACCTGAAATTTTCACCAGAGGTGCGTCTCAGCCCCAGGAGGATCCCATTAAATATTGGTGGTGATCCAGACAAAATTCTGGATACTGGGATCCAGAGCACACAAAAATAAGGGTGTCGTTGAAATTTCAATGCTGAAAGATAACCAATGGGCGGTACAGTGGTGTAGATAGGTGGCACAGTGGTGTAGTGGTTTTTGCTGTCGCCTCATAACCAGAAGGTCCTGGATTCGAACCCTGGCCAGGACATCTCTTGTTTAAGGGGGGACATGAGCTGCTTGGCGGAGGTCTGCGCTCTCCGAGTGCTTTTCTAGTTTGATTTTGCACCCGTACAAACAGTGGATTCGGATTTTCAGATTCCTCAAATGTTCATCGGATCAAGAAATTTTGCACATGTAATCATCGCTAATGTATATTTCATCATCCTTTAATGTGTCTCATATATTATCTGCTACATTTCCTTTTATTCGTTGCATTGTTGCTGGCATTGCCCATCGTGGTGCCTTTTACAGTGTCCAATAGACTATCTGTAACACTGCTGATTTTTGTTTAGGTTGTCCATAACATGGTATAGTTTTTTTTTTTTTTTTTTACCTTTATGGTGTCCACTACTTCCTTATACTTGCCCATTAAGCTTCCAGCTGCATTGAAACAGTGGTATTGACATTGGGATGTGAGGCCAAAGATGAAGGGCGATCCCCGCTGTTTAAAAAGGGATATCTTGATTTATGTCATCTCAATAATTTAAATTGCTTCCTGTGTACATTTATTTCAAATGTCATGCGTGTGAATAATGTTAATGTAGCTGTATGGTTACTTAGTCATGCACGTTCATCATAACTTCCAGTTCGGGTTGAAAAAGATCATCAAATATTAAATTATGTGCTCAAATAAAAGCCCCACATGAGAAATAATGACTCGTCATTTATTGTTTATACAGTGTCTGCAGCTTAGCTGAATCCCAGAGCTACTAATGCAATCACACAGCTTCGTGCACACACCAGCATGTTAAACAACTACACAATGTCAACACAGTCTGGTTCTGCTTTACACCAGCGCCCCCAAAATCCATTAACAACCACCCATTTCTTACTCACCTGGGTTTTTACACAACATATTTATTTCTTATGTTGTACTCGATATGTGAGTGGAGAGAAGTAAAAGAAAGGGAGGAAAGAGAGATCACAGCGGTCGAAGAAATGAGAAATTGTTTGTTGACAGCCAACCGAGCCACATAAAAATCCCCCGATTGAATCTGAGAACAAAAAATATTGGTTTCTGTGTTCATCGACCCGGTGAGCCCTCTTCAGTGTATGAAGTCCTTTTTGTTGTTGTTCTTGTCTCCAAATGTCAAAGCATAATAGACCCCCATCTCCCCCTGACACTGAGCCCGTCTGTGTTAAAGGAAATGATGCAACGATGAATCTGCTGTAAATGCATGTTCACCGTCCACCAGAGTTGTGACGGCAGGAGCCTGTCCTCTCTTCTTGTGCCTGGATAAACACAGACTTCCTGATGGAAAAGGTAAATTGAATCCCCTCTTGGCTTGTTTTCTTTTCCTGGTGAACTCCAAGACCCTGAAAACAATTTTCTCTTTCACCTTTTGTTCGAGAAGGAAATGAAGTTTTTATGTGAACTCTGTAACTTGTGCAGATGTTTGAACAAATTAACTTATATCCACATGAGCAGTTTTTGTAATTTGCTTCCTCTCTTTGGTTTTAAGTAGGAGCAGGAATTCAATCCAGTTTTTGAAATTTATGACATTGAAAACATTTTGCACATCCTTTGAAGGCATTTAGTTTTCCACCAAAGCATTCATTTTTCATTTCTTTCACTTCAGAGACCGGAGGTAGCAGGACACCCAAAAATAAACTCGGCAAAAGTCTTACAGGAAAGAGGCTGAAAGTACTAATCTCTCTGACAGAAGTCTGCGACCTTGGTGGGTTTTGTCTCGAGAAATGAGGCAGCAACCTTTTACACAGGGGATGATGTTTTTGTCCTTTTTGCAACAACAACAACAACAACAACAACCAGATTTTGCTTCTTTCCAAAGTCGTAACTCTAATGTGAAAATATGAAACGGCAGTTCATTAAGTGTCCACTTGATGGAGACTCTAAAATCAAGGAGACCCTATTAACACCCATGTTAAGATAACAGAATATATAACACATGGAAGCAGCCTTTGGGACTTCACCCATTAGTTTTTGGGGTGGAAATAGGAGGCTCATTAGCGGAGGTCGCCATATTAGAAAAGCTAATTCAATCTTACTTTTGGTCCACCTAACAGCGAGCAAACAGTTCAAGATGAGGCAGACCTTCGCCCCCAATTTCCACCGCATCTGGAATGGCAATGAAAGGGCCATATCCGCCCATCATAGCTGATCATAACAATTCAAGTCAATTACAATTTACCGGCTTCTTTCCATTCCACAGCTGGTCACCGGACTCCGCAGCTGATCGCAAGAGTTTTATTTTTTCCGGACGCTGGAGCGTGCCGGATATATTCAGCACCGATGGAAAGGAAGTCAGGCACAAACACAAAATAAAACATCTGGCTTCTTTTCAAAACTTAACATTTCGTGTTTCATGTGGATCTTGTTTCACGGGCGGAGACGAACAAGTTTTTAGACAGCATTTCACCCGCTGACACCATGTATGAGGAGATGCTGATTTTAGAATTCTAGAAGTAGATTTCCTCCTCTGGAAGGACACAATCTACTGCTTATATGGTTTGCCTCTGTGGCTAAGAGACAACTCGTTATCACGTGTTTGCACGTGAATCCGCAGGCTCTTGTGAGTTCTCGTGATAACTGCTGTACATAATCCACCACGAAATTCATCTCACAAACGGATCTGGTAGGAATTGGTGTATGGCAGGAATCACCACCGTTCTGGATCGGAGCCGTTCTGGATTTGGTAGAAATTCTGAGTCAGCTTCCTTAGCTTGTTCCTCTAATAACCTTGGTATCTTTGAAGCAACTTTGTTCCAAAAACATCACCCCCTGTATAGTGTATAATGAGAGAGGCTTTTTTTTTTAATTGGTGTGTACGTGGTTTCTTAAGCCTCTTCAGCCACCCTCAAGTGGACACTTGGGGTACGGCAGTTCATAGCCCTTCGCTTTGGCTTCAGTTCCCAGGACTTGAACTTTTAAATGAATAATTAAATATTGAACACAAAGTGAGGCCTGCTCTTAGGCTATGTTCACACTGCAGGTCAATTCAAATTTTTTAACCATATGTGACACATATCTGACTTTTTCATGTAAGTGTGAACAGTGCAATTGTGATTTTTTCAAATCCAACCGAGGCCTCTTTTGTATGTGGATATAAATCAGACATGTATCCAATGTGACTGCAGTGTGGACGCTCAGGTCGTGTTCATCCAACGTCATCAATATGTGACGCTTTGTGCACATGTGGGTCACCTCACGGACGCATTCTGTTCACATTAGATGCCGCATTCATTGTTGTAATGTGAACAACCGCACAAAGAGATCGGATTTAACAAAAAATCCAAATCGTGCATCATAACCTGCAGTGTGAACGTAGGAGAGGGATAATTAATGTGTAGAGGAATGGAGATTATTTTACTGTTAAATTGTTTTAATCATTATGATAAAGAAAAAATTCTCCCCAAAGTTGTTGTAGTTTGTCAACCCAAAAGTTGGTGTAAATTTCCATCTGAAATCTCGCTGTAGTCTTGAAGCCAGAGACTTTTGGAGATCTCCAGTTTTTGCAAAAATCCAGCTGTGTGATGAAACACTCTGTTACTTGTCGGCTCATTGTCTTTAGAGCGAGAAAGACACCAGCATATGAAAGGTATTTTCAAAGTTTTTATCTGTGTGATTTTTTTTTACCCAAATGCGCTGAAGCACTGGAGCTTGACCTGAGACAACTTTTTTCCTCCAGCACCGTTACAACCATCTGAACTCTTATTCTCTTTGAGATCAAAAACACACCCTTGCCCTTTGCTGGGTGGATCATTTTGCTTGTAATATGTTGCAATAGACAGTTTTTCTTTTGTGCTCTTGAGGCGAAACTGCCCAGTTTGACCTGCTTGTTATTGTGTTGTCATGGCGCCAGCTAAAGCCTGCCAGGACGTGGACCCAGCCCCTGGTGTTTGAGGTCTGAGCTCATTTGTATCAAAATTTGATAACTGTTTTGGGAGATGTGTTTTCAGGAGTCAATCAAGTGTCTAACTGTAAACTAAATAAGTAATTGCAACATTTTCCCCCATCTTCTACACCGTTTTTTGCTTGCTCAGTGATGAATATTTAATGCTAAAATAAATACACCAACATTTTTCAGTGGCTCTCAACAAGCAACAGAGTGCTGACGAATCATTGTGATATTTCCTCCTTTACCCTCGCACGCAGTCAGAATGCAAGGTTTTTGTTTTTGGGCAAAATTTAAAGTTTTTATGCGCAGAATTGCTGCACATTGCTCACGCACACGGCAAACAGTTTCAAGGCAGAATTGCATAAGGCTCCAAAACTATTTAAAGACACAAACCGATAGCACAGCCGATGAGTTATTCATTAAAGTGAATTATTTACCCTGTCCTTGTTTGTCTCCTCTTGAATGGCATCAAGAGAAAAAGTAGCCTCCGTCACACTGTGTCTGGGAAAAGTTAATTCTGGCCGTCCTTGGCTGCTGTTTGGGTCCTGTACCACACGGGTCTCTTTGACCCTGTCTCTCTACAGGGGAGCTCCAAAGTGTGGAGGAGAGGCCCGCAGCTTCAAAGCTGATACTCTGGGATCCTGAAAATAGAACACAGCTACTGTACGTGAAGGAAGGAGGGGGGGAAAGTGCAGGACCATCTGCTCTTCCTTCTGGCCGTGAAACAAGATCATCTAATTAAATCAAGTGCTAAGTTTTACATGAGCGAGACAAAGCTTCTCCTGCTGGGAGAAGGTTCAAAGTCAGATTGTTAGCTAGTCCTTTTTGGCGCATAATTCATTACATGACTTCAGGGCGAGTCATGTGTTTTAAGATCTCATCTGTCTCCAGCAAAGAAAACATGTGCTCAATGTAAATCTGGCCAAGCTTGATCTTACAAAAGCCGCCAGAAACTAAAACCACACCAAGACTTATAAACATGTGATTAAGAGCTTTGCGAACATAATGACTACCACCGAACAAGAATCTTAAATTAATTCTGATTGAAAATGTTTTTACTGGTTGTAATTGGTGAAATTTTGGGGAACACAAATTACACCAGAATCACAAAAATTCTGCTTTGGCATTAAGGTTAGACAAATCACACAACAAGTCATTTCTATTTGCTGATTCTAGATAAAAATACAGAATATATGGCTGTTGCAGGGAGGAAACTTCCTTCATGTGGTTCAATTGCACAGGTTTGTTCATGTGTTAGTAGTTCTTTATTGGTGTTGCATTAAAAATACAAGAATGCTAGACTGTAGAAGCAGACAGCAGCTACACCAAAGCAGGGACTGTGTGTTAGCTGCAAAGGTTCTCCGCTCTAAGAACTTGCTTTTAAGAATTTTGAAGCACTGTCTGGAATACTTGTTTCTTCACCAAGAAAAACAGCACCATCTCCTCAATCAGACACTTTTTTTTACCTGTAAGGTGTTTATGTCAGTCACTTTCAGAGCTGAATATATCAACTCTTGCTCCAAGTTGTCACCCGGCTCCATGACTCTGTGCTGAAGCAGCAGCTTAGCTTTAATAGCAAAATGGTAAAGTGCAAAGTGAAAATACATATTCTATGTCTCCTTTTTTCCAGGGATGATTTTGTGCATGTTTTTGTTTAAATCTGGCTGAAAGCTAAATTGTCTCAAAGTAGTGAAGTTGAAATTAGTTCAAGTGCCTGTGTAGTTGCCTTTGATCATACCTACCATACTGCAGCTGGATTGATAATATTGTAATAATTCAGCCCCAGATGGGACCAAGTGTTTGTATCATATATGTTCTTGTTTCTGTTTACAGTCAAAGAGGTATCTTTCTTTGTACATGGTAAAACTCTTTCCAGCATAATACACAGCAGCAACCTCTGAGTCGTCGTCGTTCTCTTCCGCTTATCTGGGTCCGGATCACTGGGGCAGCAGCTTCAGGAGGGAAGCCCAGACGGCCCTCACCCCAGCCACCTCCACCAGCCCCTCTGGGGGGATTCCCAGGTGCTCCCAGGCCAGGTGAGAGATATAATCCCACCACTTGGTCCTGGCCCGAGCCACCTCATCTGAATCCTCTTGATGTGAAGGAGCAGCGGCTCTACTCTGAGTGCTTCGTGAGTGTCCAAGCTCCTTACCCTATCTCTAAGGCTGAGCCCGGCGACCCTGCGAAGGAAACCCAATCTCGTTCTTTTGGTCATTACCCAAAGTTCATGACCATAGGTGAGGGTCGGCACGTAGATCGACCAGTAAATGGAGAGTCTCAACTTACGGCTCAGCTTTTTCTCCACCACGATAGATCGGTTGAGCAGCCGCATCAGTGCTGACGCCGCTCCAATCCGCCTGTTGATCGAGCAACCTCTGCAAATGAGTCCATTTAAATTAAGCGCTCAAACTGCAGTTCCTCTAGTGTCCATTTGGGGCTGGATCCTAAAGCCGAAGAGACCCATGTTAAAATGCCAATAAACAGCAAAGATAAACATGTTTCCTGCCCTGTACCAAACACAACTTTGGTCTGTATTGCCAATTTCTCCATTTGTACACACTGTCCAGAGGTGAGATACATATGAGGGTTATTAGTTTTGTCCAGTTAGGCTTAAATGAGATAGCTAATTAATTCTCACCGGACTGTTAATAAAAGCAGTCCATTAAAATGGAGGCCCCAGCTGGAGACACTTTTTTCACCAACTGCTGGCTACACTGGAAACCAACCAAAAGTTGACCATAACCAGACCCCTCAGCCAGCTTATGCCCGTTGTTGCTGGCATGAGTCTGAAACAGATGTCATTATGAGTGTTTTCCCATCAGTGGCAGATGTACCAACCTAATTACAATTTGGTGCTAGCTAACTCAAATGAGCTATCAGCCATCGTAGCATTCGAGTAGGGTCTTCATATGAGAGGCTTGGTAGCTGCTATCTTTGGTGCAGATAGCCGATAAGGCATTTTGTGACTCACCACTCAGTGACCAGTTGAATATTTTAAGACAGCAGGGCTCCTGCTTCCTCCCCTGATTCTGACAGATGACTTTAACATTCTCCTCAGGGCTAAAATGCATTTACTGTCACAGGCGCTGTTGTTATGGTTGGAGCTCGGCAAAAGCATGAGAAATCATCTCAACAGCAAAAATCAACCTTTTTTTCCCCACTTTTCCAACAGACATACATTTTTACTCTCTATTTCGCGCTAAATTAGACAACTGGCACACTTTTTTTTTACTATTTCAAGTTAAATTTCAAGAGATTTAGCTTCTTTTTTCTCCTCTCTCGGAAACATCTTAGTTTTCTCACCCATGAGAATCACCCATCATCTGAGGGACTGAATTAAATAACATCCCAGATGTTTGTATCTCTCCTGACAATAGCTACGAGGAACAAAGAAAGAAAGAGCAGCACAAGATGACTCGACCGATTCGTTCTCCTCAGATGCAAATGCTTTCTGACACTTATTTGAATATTATTCTAAATATGAACCAAACTCATGTGTTATTTACCTGCATTTCTTCAGGGAAAACATCGCCGGCTGTGTGCTGTGTATTTACACATCAAACATCTCCCCTGCTTCCTCATCACAGCTTTCCCCCTCCTTTTTTTTTTGTTTTCTAGTTTTCCTGTCTGCTCTCATCTCTGATTTATCTCCCCTCTAAAGACGACCTTATCTCTGATCGTTATCTTTTAATATTTTAATCCTAATTTAATAAAAACAGACGGTTCACCTCATTACATTTGTTGTACATGCTCCACTGCTCCCGAATCGTGAACACAAGGTTACAAACGCGACAAAAGATGACACTTCAACTGTAACAGACACAGCTGCAGGTTCTATCTTCATATCTAAAGTAATTATGAATTCTTAAGGTAAGCTAATGAGCTTACACTTAGAAAAAAAGTGAAATTATGCAGCACGTGGCAGCTCATTCGAAGCCCCTGCATACCCACACAGGTGTTGTCACTTAGCGATTAGACCTCTCGGCTCCGTGTGGGCGGGTACAGAATGCATTTGATTGACATCTGCCCCTCTCTCTCTTAGCATCGATGTTACACCTTTAAGTTGTTTTATTTTTTTAAAGATATAAATAAAAGCCTGTCGTCCTGAGTGGTTGGAAGTCCAGGTCCTCGGCAAGCACTGCGCATGGGTTCACCTGATGTCAACCTGCAGAGAGACGTGTAATCAGGACAGGATGACTGAAGCACTTGTGTGGGTGAGCAGGTGCTTAGAGGAACTTATAAAGACACGTCCATCATGATCAAAAGCTCTCTGTAATCTGGCTGCATAAAAAGCTGTGTGCTTTGATTTGGATTTGAAGAACTAGAATGCTTTTAACCTCTGGGTTTGTGTTTTTTACATCTCCTGTCTGAAGCATTCAGCCATGAATGACTTGAAACGCTGTTTGTACCTTTATACCAGTGACTTTAACAGGGTCGTGCATGCTAATATGCAGCAAGGAAATATATAATACTTCAGGTATTCAAGAGCAAAGTATTAAATGAAATATGTTTACTCTTTTAAAGCACTGATTTGTATATATTATTGAGGCAAATACTGTATGAATGAAAGGAAATCATAACATTACAAAAGATGCAAACATCTGAAAGAAGTTACTGGTTGAGAAATAGCCTGAAAGTGATCACTCCAAAATTAATAAGACCTTAAAAGCAACAAGACTGAAACTTTCGTGGTTGTAGTTAAAGATGGGGATCAATAACAAGGTCCATTAACTACCCGACAAAGCATTTGTCAAAACCCCAAAAATCAATCACGTTTGAGCTGATTGAGTCTGCCATTGGGTCTCGAAGGTCAAAATGCAAATGCAAAATGCAGTTTATGATGCCCAATATTATTTTGCAAATGGCAAACACATCAGCATTGTGCGCTAAATCAAGCCAAAATGCAGAACATTAATTCCGTCGACTCCAGCTGCTGCTGCTGTGGGGCCGCCATCCTCATCATCACCCAAAGCAGCCGGGGGTAAAGACAGCCAGACTTCATGGCAAGACCAGCTACTTAAAAATCCTGATCTAGAGTTAAAATCTGTATTGAATTAGCAGGATTAAAGCTAGTTAACTAACAAATCAAGGTGACATTGTGGGCTGTTCAGGCTCGGGTCAGTATCATGATATGTTCAAATATCATGTCCAGCAAAAGAAATAATAGTTTTAGTTAAAAAAAAGAAGAAGTTTGAAGGAAAACAATAATAGAAAAGATTTGATAGCGGTGTCAATAAGAAATCGGATCATTAAGGAGTCTCAATATTGGTGTCAGTATTGACAAAAATGAGTGATCCCCATCCCTTGTCGTAACTACTTATGTCTACAAGAGAGTTGTTGCATCAGACGATTGATTGCAAGCCCAAAAAAACACACTTTTTTAAAAACTACATCCATGGCAATCACAGTGAATGATACGTTTCACATTTAACAGTTTTTGCTCGAAAACACGACTTCCACATATATAAGACAAGAGATTAGAGGTAACAATTTGTCCGAGGGGGCGCAAAA